ATCCTCAGTGAAAAGGAAGAGGGAAGCGAAGGCATTGTATCACGAAAACAGCAAGGCATCAAGTTTCTCGAAAAGGATCAACATTTGAGAACATGCTAGTGACTAAGTACATGCTTGCTTAGGTAATGAAAGAATTAACAGAAGGTCTCTAAGAACCAAGCAGCATCTCAGTCTGCACCCAATTCCAAATTTGAGTTTAAGAATTGTGCCAGAATTTCAGGAACAGTTTAATTATAGCATTCTTTACACTTCCTTTCATCTTTTCTAAGTTTCCAGAAATGCTTAGCCCTTATTTATATATGATAGAGAAGAACGGTTTCCATAGCAAACCGAAGTAATTCATTCTATGTATGCAAACGGACACAGGGATGAGCGTACAAACATGTAGCTCCCAGGCAGTGGCAATGTCCCTAAAGGAAAAAGCTGAAGTTGTTCTTCTAATCGGTGACGAAATCCTGTGGTCACAGCTCCCAGGTATTAAAGGGGATTACCAAGATTTTGAAATTAGTGGAAATGTCTATCTTCTACAAACCTCAATCTATTGTTTGTACAACGTGGACTGTTAGAAAGTATTACTTCTGTCATACACAGTAGTGCCATGTCTTTCAGGATGAAAAATCCTGAACAGAAAGAGGCATAAAAGAAAACAAGAACGTTTCTCCACTTTTCATGTTACTAAAAATATTTAATACCTGAGTGTTCTGCACAGCCACTTGAGAAGAGTAATTCTTACAGGCACATGCTGAAAAATGTGAAAGAAGGCTACAGCTGCCATTCTAAAAGTTAACCATGATTGTCCAAACAGTAACAAACTCAAAGCCCCATAGTTTCTGGGAAAGCATAAAAGTTTTCAATAAACACTTAAGACACGTGGTAATCATCACCTGAAACAACAAAAATACCACAGATGTAACAGACTTTCAAGTGAGAATGATAACCACAGGATTAGAATTTATCTCCTTGGCTGTTTAAACAGGGGGCAAGATCTAGCCCTCAGAGATGAAAGGTCAAAGTACTTGCTTTGCAGAATTTGTTTTTCTCTTCTTCTCTACCACGAGACTACAGAATCAATGAACTCCTTCAACACAAAATAAATCTACACTGCCCATCCAGCACACTAAATCCTCCCCAGCCGACTCCAGGTGAACTCAACAGTGGCAGGTCAGTCCCTTTCTTTAGGGCTATGAAAAGAGGAGATACTAAAACTTGCCACAAAGACAACACAGTTGGGCCACACTACAGAAGCAGTTGATACAAACTGCATTTTTTACCATATCAGTGCTGTAAAGCTTCTCTGGGTGAAGTTTCAGGGAAGTCTGTGTACGGGGGAAGGGGGGGGGGGAAAAAGGCTTCTTGCTTCTCTCCATGGTCCCAGTCACACACAAGCTGCAGAACAGACACAAGAGCTCATCCAGCAAACTTCTCCTTATGCTGGAAGTTCAACGGTGGAGTAGCACTTTGTCCCTCCTTCCTTCCTACTTTCCATCAGAGTGGACAGCCCCATTCCTCCATGCAGTCCCTTGTTTCCCCCATCCTACTCTCACAGCCTGCAGCATCTCTGCTCTGGCAGCCTTCAGAGGTGCTTTAAGAAGAGGGAGAGTTGAAAGCAGAGGACGCCTTCAGCCCTCCTTTTCCTGCTGCAGGGAAAAGAGGCTATGGAGGAAGCAACACTCGAGCTCTGGGCTGTTTGCATCTATCAAACACAAAACTGGAAGACCTAAGAATAAATAAAACCAGTATAACAGTTAAATTATTGAGAATATTTAGATACTCTTTTCTCATATGACAGAAAAACATAAGAAAGGAGACAGAAATGAGTATACAAAGGATCCAAGATGCTAAATGTATAATTTAGGAAATGAATAAAGTCCATATGGACATGATCAGCTTCTAGTTA